TACTTACTTTCACAATGCACTCTCACACTGAGATGGTACCGTTAAATAACCTGGGGCGGTGTATTTGTCCTTGAAACTTTCCAAAAATTCTTGCATTCTTTCACCCCCACCCTAGAACATTGTGTTCGCATAACGGGACGAAATAATGCAGAGCTCGGTTCACACTAGTGCGAAAATAGTGTTAAACTCACCATGTGAAACAAAAGTGAATGAATATTAAACAACATATAAACTTAAAAAAAAAGCCCCGGTTAAGCCGCAAACCGGTTAATCCGCCCCCGGATAATCGAGAGTTGACTGTATTGTGAGAGCTAGCCCATGGACTGGGAGCTGGAAGCCCCGGTATCATGGGATAAGTACGAGTTTAAGCATATTTGAGGATGGCTGTTGATCTCTACTGGGTGCTAGCAGCAAACTGAGTGCTGGCTGGCACTTAAGTGCATTGCAGACAGATTACAATGAAAGCCATGATTTAAATCCCATGCATTGCATATGGGTCATGCAGATCTGTGGTTTGGCCAGCAATATTTTGCTTTATCTGGCATGCGGCTCTGGCTGATGTGTCAGCTCAAGGTTATTGGCATCTTCAAGAGAGGTGTTTAGAAGCCTGTAACCTTAGGTAAAAAAAATATAAAGCTATCCCTGTAACAGATTATGGAGGCCCATAGGGTTGTCAGACATCACAGCTCCCACAGTTGGCTCACAGATGGGGGTGAGATTTTCAGCCTTATGCCCCAGCTGCCCTTTACCCCCAGGAAGATTCCAGTACTCATTTCTGTTAGAGGAAGGGTTGACCCCAGGGCCATTGTTGGGAATCGTGGACTCAGCGCAACGTGATAACGCACGTGTTGCCAGTAAACACTTCCTCACAGTGAGGCAACAGCAGAGGAGCTGTGTTAGGCAGCACTTCCCCGCTGTGACGTAACAGTGGGGGGGCTGCTAGGCAACAGGCCAGTAAACACTTCCCTGCTGTGACAACAGCGGATTCTGCTGCTGCTGCTGCTAGGGTAACAGGCAACAGTATAACAAGCAGAGCTGAGGACTGAGCTGGGCAGTGGATTGACAGAAGCCCATGGTTAGTCAGCACGGAGAGCAGAGCAGTTTTACAGTCTAGTGAGACTTGTTAACACGAAAGGAGCGGCTGTGAAATGACTTGTTCAACATTTTGTGTTATAGCTACGCTGAATTGTACTGTAGTTACGTGGAAGCGTAATAAAGTGATGTTGCAAGAATACTCCTCGAGGTCTTGTTTCACAACAGCCATAGTGCAGCTGGAAGGATTGGGTCAATTGAAAAATCAGTGACGTCATCGGGAATTGAACCCATGACCTTCATGTTTGTAGCATAATGCCTCAACCAGCTCTGTTACCACGTGCCCCAACCTTGGGTACTGTAACAATGTATAACAGCTATACTACTTGATCCGCTCAGTTCCCTTGAACCACTCTGCAGCCTGTTGTAAATACTAATTGAAATAATAGAACATTGTTGTGCCTCAGGTTTCTTACAATCAAGTTTTTGTTGCTGTGCTTCCCTAGATGCAGAACACATGCCTTTAAATACCACAGGAATGCAAATAGTGTATTCATTCCATGATGTTCCCTGTGTTGCTTTAAGATTTTCTGCAGTATCACAAAATGGGCGAAAGTTGTGGAGGTATAGCTGTGACATCATTTTGTCTGGACTTATGTACCTCAGTTTTCTGATGTGGCCAATGATGAAAGTACTGAAACAGAAACCTTGGATGCTGGTGCAGATACTGTCTGTGCTTTTAGTAGACCTGGCCATTCTTAAGAGAATGCGTTGTGGATGCGATACAGATAATCCTTGATTTACAGAGGTGATTTGTTCCATGAAGACTGTAATGTAAAAATTCATAACTCAAATATGATATCAAATATGATTACTTTACATGTAGAAGTCGCCAACTTGTTTGCAACTTCCAAAAAAAATCCCTCACTACTTTTATGCATGTTTTAATAGTAAATAAGCATTAACAGCATTACTTGTTTATGATACTTATTGTTGCAAATGAAAGTGCATTATTTTATTCAAATTTGTTTTCTCGGTGCAATGCAACGATGCAGCTTGTAGCCAGACTTATTATTTTCCCTGCTTACTTTGGCTTATCAGCATGTCTTACAACCACTTTCACTTGTTAGGGAGCCATTTTGGGCACTGATAACACAGATATTTGTGGATGGAAAGTAAGCATCACAAGCACAACTGTTTCTGTGTGATCTCAACGTGCACAGGCAAACTTGGAAGGTAGGAATGTCTGTAATATATTTTAGTTGTTTGCTGTAGCGAAAATGAAGTTATTAAGTAAAAAATAGGTGCAAATTAACATGCATGATTATAACAAAAATTTATAAATCATGTATTCATTAAATGAAAGATACCTTTATAGTCCATTAACTGAGATACAGATTGTGCGGTGTGTGTTTGCAACAGAGCCTTTTAACAGTACATCACCCTCCCATAATACAGCTGCAATCACTGTTTCTCTACTTTCTGCCATGCTTCTCATGTTCAGCTCAGGCCAGGTCTAAATGCATCGCCTGTAAATGGTTGCAACCTTGCCTTGTTTTTGTGACATTGAATTACACAGATGAAGATCAAAGTTCCTTGCCCAAAACAAACATTCATTCAGGTGTGTATGGCATACATCTGACATGAAAGTTAGTAATGGGACATTTCTTGGAAGCAGAGGATTGAACATAGATATTATACAACTTTCTGCAGACCAGTCTAACGCTGAAGATGGAGGCGCTACGTTCCTCCGAAACGTCGGCCAAAACGAAGAATACACGGTGCCTAAACCCAGAAGACAACTTTCTTCATTGTCATCGCCGTGAAAACCTCAAAACTTACACAGTCTAATGTCGACTGCAGTCAGAACACTGACTGGTAGAAAGGATCACCAAACATGCTAATGTGATCCAGTGTTACCATTTCATAAATGAATATTGTTTAGGTCTGATAACTTTAATGTGGCATGTTAGAAATAAAAATATGAAAGACTGCTGATCAAGTGAACTTGCAATATGCACTCGCAGTTTCACCCCCAAGCTGTGAGTAGTATNGCTACCACTACTCTTGAACACTTCTCTCTTCTCTATCTACCTTCCAACTACTGTCCTCCTTCGCTCCCTATAACCGACCCCCCATCTTTACAAGTCCCCCATTTGGCATCAGAAAAACAAGAAAATAACAAGAGAAAACCAAGGGTCGAGCCCGACATCTGCCCTACATTCGTATTTTTCGAGATGCCCATAAACCTCTGTAGGTCTTCAAGGAATCCAAGACCCCTCCTGGCCGGTCTCGCACACGGTCAGTTCATGGGTTTATGATATACTGGGAGCAAACAGGCGATGTTAGGGACAATAGTGGCACCCTTAGCCTAAGGAGAACAATAGCGGAATTACAACTAGACGGTCCCGGGATGGTATCTCGCCGATGGAGCGTCTCTCACGGTATTAAACAATGCATAAGTAGTTCATACCCTTAATTATATAATTTTGACGAGGGACGTACGGTTACAGTAGAAACCATTCTTATGCCATCTGGTCTGCCTGGCACTTCATGATAACATCCAGCACACTCAGGCAGCCACTTCAAAACTCAGCCTCTTTATGAATATTTCGTTTGCAAGTTCAGATCAGGTAACAGCCTGCAAAGAGAACTGTTATCATATAAAGGCATGACACCTTGGAGAGGCCACCTAAAGTTCATGATACATACATAATACTGGGAAAATTACAGAGTATGAATAGTTGGTGAGGATGTATGGGACAAAGTCAGGATGTGCATGCAACATGAAGATGAACATAACTGGCAGTAAAACTAGGAAGACACAATTTTTTCAGTTTTTAAAAACAGTATTGAGTATTGGTCTAAATTACCTCATTTATGAGGACAATTTTTATGACAGTGTAGAATTGTGTGAATATTTATTACATAGAAAAACGAGTGTGTGGTGCTGTGAGGACTGATAGAGGAGTTGTACAAAATCTTGAAAAAGAAGCCGAAAATATGATGAAAGGGCAGCGATTTCACAGAAGGGACAAAATTTTGTCCAGGTTTGGCAATGTTAAAAGATAAGCAGGTGAGACATATGATTAGATCGATTCATGAGTCAAAATTGGTGAACTTGGGAAAGAATGACAGAAAAACTGGGAAGCATAGTTGCAGCTTCAAAGTGAAGTAAAGTTGTTCCTGTTCTCAAGAAATCAGATGCATGTAGAACATCTGGCAACCAGGGTATTTAGTCAAAAGGACATTCTGGTCTGCAGTATGTTAACAAAGGAACCACATCACATATTGTGTTGAATAAATTAATGTTATGCACTTAGATTATACTGTGGAAACGAGGAGCTGCATGAAACATATGTCCACATTGGCACTGGCACAGACTCTTGGTTGCATATGCATATTTCTCATGTCCCCTGCTATAACTTACTGTCTCTCTGGTACCGCAGGTGATGGCACGGCGGGTGGAGCCAGATGGACAGATGCAAGTCTTGCTGCACTGGTACCCCGAAGACATGTGAGTACAAACATGGGCAGTTGGTTCATCTAACTTGTAGATTTAATGAGTGAGGTGTCGTGACTGTCCACTTTGCTTGCAGTCTGCCAGACGAGTGGGTGACAGAGATGGAAGCTCAGAGCAGCCGCTGCGTGCCAATCCCAAGCCTTTCTCCTGCTGCCATGACAACACTCCAGACTGCCCTGTTTGTGCCAGGGAGAAACAAGCAGCGTCGGAAACCCACAAAGTCCACGTGATGACTGGACTCTGACTAGCAGGGTGTATGTCTCAGGTAGGAAGGCAGCGATGTGAAATGTGTGCTGAGTTTGGTGGGGAAGCCTTTTGTAAGACAAGACAAAGGTACAGAGATAATATTAATCCACTTTGCCAAGTGTGAGTTATGGCAAAGTGGAAGATTGAAACAGCCTTGTAGCGTCTCAATCAGTTGGCCCTCTGCAGGGTTATTTATTTAACCTTTTGACCATTGCATTGAACAGGATATCTTGCGCTTATTTTTTTGCAATCATTGATGGACTGTACATATTCTTCCACCTTTCAGCAGACTTCCAAACGAATGACAACCTGGGTTGAGGGAGAGTGAACAGCCTTGCTGAGTGCATATGCACCCTCATAGAGCACTTACATTGTAACACTCACATAGTTTGCACAGCAGTGCAATGCACATAAGACGCAACAGGATGCTGTAAGCCCACCCTGACAGCACCAGTTAAACACTGAAATGCCGGGAGCACGCCACTTGTCAGTACATATTGGTTTTGTATGTCTGACACTGCAAATCTAATACTTCCAGTTTCTGTATAAGCCTTCTGATGTCTAGATAACCACATTTCCATGTGATATGATTTTCATACAATCAAAAGGCTGTGCAGACATCTGAGATAGGAGTTATACCATGGTCATTTAGTGTAAGGCCCAGATAGTTTTGATAGAAATAGGTTCTTCAGAAAATATGACAATTTTCTAGAAGCCTCATTCTCTTTCATATTTGGGGATATTTTTTGAACTTTGATGTTAATATTGATGTTTGCCTTCTTCCGTGCTCAGTCACTTATAGTTACAAGAATACCAGACAGCATTTGTCATCTCTGGTTCTGTCATTGATGTCACACTCCCAAGATATTCAGGGTGTCTGATAGAAGCTAGAGAGGGTCATATTACTTGCAGACATGCAGACCTAGCTATTGCAGTCCAGTGTACAGAACTGTATGCTAGAAGGATTACTGCTTTACCAAGGAAAGAGAGTAGAGAATTTGACAGAATAAGAATACATATAGTGACATGACAGTCAAAATCCGGAATAGTGAAACAAAAAGAGTAGCATGTTACTAGGCAACGGCATGGTAAGGAAGTTTCCACAGCACTGAACCAACATGCGTCAACAGAGGAACTGTTGGAAGCAGTGTTTTATCTATGGTCCACGCCAAGGCTTATATTGTGAGAACCAACAAGAGAAGTTGGTCATTCAGAGGTCACCGGTTAGTACTAGTTAGTTGTGAGTGAGGAGTTGGTAGTTGGCTGTGAGCATGGAAGCAGAGGGATGTCCACTGTTAGGAGCCACTAGACAGCAATGACTATTGAAGACACAGCAGACTGAGAAGTCTTAGTGTGCCCTGTTGTGACATGTAGTGTGTGCAGATTAGTGAGAATGTTATAATTACTTGTAGCTACAAGTGTGTCCAGTAAATCCAATTACCAATCCAAACCCCATCTATAGTCAACATGTGACAGTATATTTAATAGTATAAGCAGGGTATTGTGACAGTATGTGTATTTGAAGACTGCTTAAACAAAATGTAAAGTACTTACGTGTAAGACTTTATATTCAGCTGCTGAAGATAGTGGTGGCTCCAGCAAGCATGGATAACAAGATGGCTGGCACAGAAAAGTTGAGAATGCAAAAGAATGTTAAATGGCATTAATCACATAAACTGCAAAACTTAAGAATGGCCGCAGCCTCTGGTCGATGCCACATTCCTGTGCCCAGAACAGAGTTGAATACAGCACAAATTAACAATATGCATCTCCTCTGTGAAATACAGTAGTAGCCAAGAGAATACAGCTTGAGCTTAACCACTGCCAGTTCTAGAACTTTTTCTGTGAGATAGTTACTATCAGTTCAGAATGAAAGAGGTGATTTTTAACTCAAGTTACAGAATCAAAGAAAGAAATGGTATCTTGTGCATTACCAAAAATACAATTCATTTATTGCATATGTGCACGGCAAGTGCTGTCCATGCATGGTGATGACTTACTCCAAGCATGCTGAAATGTAATAGAGAATTTCAGTATGGCAGAACACACCAATTCTCAAGATGCACCAAACAAAACTAGTTTCAGCCAGACACCATGTGGTCCCCTGGACAAGAGAGTGTCTTAGCAAAGTCCCTGTGGCTGCCAGCTTGAGTTTCAGAAATGCAAAGAGGAATGTGATTGGGCAGAAGAAATCATGCAAGTGAGTCTGACATCAGCATAATAAGATGGGGAAGAGCCTGATGTGACGCAGCAAGGGAGAAGGAAGGCTGGCCGTGAGTTAGTGAGCAGACAAACAGAATGGCTGAGTGTCAGTTGTGTGAATGTATAGATAACTAACTCTGTTGAGCAGGATCTATCTTGAGAAGCTGATAGACAGCTAGTCAGGGAATTTATCACATGTTTGTAGAACCTTAAGGTTCATTACTGTTGTTTACAAGAGCCTACAGTGGGAATGCACACTGCTCTTAATCTAGAGAGAACAGAACTGCAAAGTCATATTTGTAACTGCTGTTGCCCTCTCTGTTTCAGTGGAAACATATACACTTTCATTGCTGTTACAGCAGTCTTTTTAATAATTCATAAATTTCTTCCAAACTCATTTGGTGTAGTCCACAGCTGGGCATATGGAGGACAGACAGTGACTTTTTCAGTGTTTGCTGGAAAGTAACATTTTGTGCATCCAAGTATTCCAGAACCTTAGTCAGTGATAGGATATTATGCTGTTAGTAGACTGGTTCGTTCCTCATGCGGCTAGTTTGTCAGCTTCTTGTAATAACACAATATGCTGTGGAAAATCATGGAAATGATGAATAAAAATCCTGGAACACTTAGTGGCTAATATTAAAAATTCGGTATTTTTCTGTATATTTTTATGATACTGAAAGTTACTGGATTTTTCCCCCACTTCTTATCTTACATAATTTGAACGGTTTCTTGCATATATTTTGAAGAACTTATGACAGATATTGATAGTTCTGGAGCAGACGTATGAAAATGAGTATTTTTCACATCACTATTTTGTTCCGTTCTGTGATTTATCATGTAGCATGTCAAATATGTAATGTGAAACTCATTTTTGATAGCCTTCACCAAACTAAAGCTTCAGTTCCTTTTCTGAGAAGTACTTACTATGCTAATTTCTTTTTTGTGTATGAGAAAAAAGTGAAGTACACCACATATGAGATGCAATGTGGGATAAACAGTAGCCCAGAGTAAGTAAGTGGCTCAAATTTGGTTTCTGGCTTGATTATTCTTTACAATTTCATCCAGAATGGTCTCCAGTATCCACATATCCTTGTACCTGAAGACCTTTTCTCCAAGGTTTAACTGATCAGGTTGCCTAAAGCTGTAATGTGTCTGTCTTTTATTCAGGAGGCACCCATCAGGATTGTCTGTAATTCCATTTGACACTAAATTACTACTATCTTTCATACAGCATCAGAAAATATGCAATCAACCATCTGGCCCTTTGGTATGAAAGATACTTTTAACTCTTAGATTGATGACTTAGTGTTATCATCTTTGACTTAATTGTGTTTTGTTGCAGAGTTTTGCCCCGATGAGCAGCAGAAGATCATGGATGCACATACCAAAGTGAACTGGACAGATATTTCCAAGAAAGATGTGGAACTCAGTATTTAAATTCCCTCTCCTACTTCTGAAACGTTTTTAAGCTAGGCTTAGGGTGTAGGATGAGGTATTGAGTGTTAGTTTGTGTATAGGTCCGGCTATGCTGAGTAGAATAACATGGTGAAGGAATCTGATTTTCCTCCAAAGCAATCAGCCCCAGACCACACTGCCAAATCTTGTGCGCAAGTGTATATATCAGTAGAGAGAGTAAAAGTTTTTTTTAACATTTCTTTCTTTGGCCAGAGTGTGTGCGTGTGTGTCATAGTTTCTTCCTAAACCACACACTATGCGCACACATTTTGTGCTCATACTTCATGTACATATGATATAGTTATCTTCGGAGACATTTCTTGAGTGTCATACTTAAGTTGAGGGAAACAGTATAAAGCCTCTTTTTTAACCTCATAACTAATTATTTATGACAAGGAGAATATAACAGTGTCAGGTTTCAAGGTGCAAAACAGCCAAAAATAGTAGACACATGTAACGATCACTGCCATTCTGAACTGCCACTGTCTGTGTGTTTGTCATTCAGTTGTTCATGTTCGTTTGTTCATTTGTTTGTTTGTGGGGACACCAGGCACACTTAGCATAGTTGGAAGGGAATATGTCTTGCTTTTCCTTCCTCTTGTTTATGTTTTGTCTCTTTACTGCACTAGTGCCATAATTTATTAAAGTTAGTGGTGTGCATAGGAAAATCAAAACAATGGCTCAACTTCTTTCTCGTCACTCCTGATCTCTATATGATTTAGACTGAGGAAGGCCCCATACCACACGCTGAACATGCGACTACAATGGGAATTTTTTCCATAATGTGATGTCAAAAGTAAACAATTGATAAGAAGAGGAATTTGTCAAAATGTAATACTGTTGCCAGCATTCAGGCTGTGGCTTGAGTTGTTGATGCGCTGTCTGTTTGCCAATCAAACCAGCAGTACTAAATACAGAGTACAGTCTCTGCTAAAACATTCCTTGACTATTACCTTTATTATCTTGGTTCACATTTTAGTACCAAATACCAGTATGAAAAACGTGCGGCGTGTCACTGCGTGCCTTGATCACAGCACATTCAAAACAGTGTGTTCCCTTCCTGCATTTACGGGCGTGGGGGTTGTACATAGTTTCGGTATTATTATTATTATTATTATTATTATTATTAACTGCTACTACTGCTGAGTGCTGTAATCAATGACCAGGCCATTTTACGTTAGTTTATTTGTTCATGATCTCTAAATGACACGCCACCCCATTATCTGCATTTCATAAATTGTGTTTGTGATTTATTGTGTTGCTGCTGCCATCTGGAGGTTGCAAGTGGAGTGACCAACTGACTATGAACAAATAGGTGCGTTGCAAAGACAGCGGCGGAAAAACATGTTTTATGGAGCCTGCTTTGACTCTGGTGAACAGTTTGGAAGCTGGGGGAACTTGACAGAGGACATTCAGTACGAACTCATGGGAAAATCAGGGACACTTTAAATTCACAACTTCATAGTTTTCTAATTACATGCTCCTACTGTGAGAAATATATTTTTGACAAGACTGAAAATATGAGTTCCTCTGCCCCAATCGTGTGGACCTGAGCAGTACAGACGTTGACTGAGCCATTATGCTGCATCTTTGCTTCGCACCCACGTCTACTCTTGTGCCTTCGTGATTAACATATATATACTGTGTCGTGTAGCTGACATATCCAGACCCACCTGAGGAGACATGTTGGCCCGGGCTTTCTGGTCTTCACGCTGTGTGTGTGTTATGTATGTATGTACATTTGTATAGATGACTATCAACTAATTTATTTATATAAAGAGTAGGCGCCAAGACTGTATTTTACTACTTAAGAGTAAGAGCGAGATCAACTGTCAGTATTAGTTATCTAGAGACATGCATGTGCTTTGAATGTCTGTAGAGCAGATCCCTATTGTTTCATGAGTAGCTCGAATGAAAACCAGAAAGCCCAGTTGTGACTGCATGCTGTCACATTGCTGCATTTGCAATACCTATCCATTCTTCAGCTGCAGGTTCAACTAGTATAGTAGTACCCAAAAATGTTGGACATATTCTGACGTTGAACCAGTTAAATGCTGGGTGAGATGCCCTGAGAGTGGTCAGAGCCCAGCATTATACTCGTACTCTGGTCTGTTTGCAGTCTGTTGGCAGGTATTATGGTATTGCAGCACGCTGTGTGGCAACTTGAACAGGTGTTTTCGAGGGTGGAGAAAGCACATTTCCACTTATTTTATATGCATTTGTGAGAGAAATCCACTGTGTTGTGTTCTATCAAAACAGTTCAGATTTTTTTTTTATTGTTTAGGTTTGTAGATGTGTAGTCAGTAAATGTAGTCTTAGTGAAAACAAGGGAAATTTTCTGTAAATGAATTTGTTTCCCCTTTTAATTATAAAAAGATTTATTTTAAAGTAATTTTTTGGAACTACAGTAACAAAATCTACCTCAGTTACTTTTAGATTTGACCACCACCGTTTGTTCCCTCCCCACCCACACGAGCACGTGCCACCCACCACTTGAAGGAACAGACTGAAGATGGTGGCACTACATAATAATATGTGTATAGCTCACTTCATTTCATTATTATTATCATTATTATTATTATTATTATTGTGTGCGTGTGCAAGTGTGGGTGCTGTTAAATACCAGGAGTGAATGTTCAACTGTTATTTAAAGAAATATAATGCTGTAACAAAGAAGAGTATTCATTTATTTCCCCACCATTTGACAACACTGCTATGGTTCCTAGTTAGTAATTTAAGAAAGTTGTCTCATGGTGAACTGCAGTGTTGCAAACAGAACGCCTTCCCTCCGTTCCAAATGATTCTTCCAACAAGATATGCAGTTTTTTTCACAAAAGTGGTATGATCAAAATGTTATCTTTCCCCATCCAGCATACTAATCTGTATTCTAAGCATGTGTGAAAGTGTCACAAGTTCAAAATGAGAATTTGGAAACATTTTGAGAATCAGTGAGAATGAGAATTTCCTACTAGTCCAAGTTTTTTTGTAGTAATCACGATTTATAACAGTACCGTTTTTCAGGATGCACTAATGTACTACGTACCCCTTTTTATATCAGATTCTTTTCACTAATATGTTTTCAAAAATCATATTTTAAAAAGAATTCAGTTCTAGAGCTGTGCCCTTTCTTACTTTGGAAGGAGGGGGGGGGGAGATTCTGTTGAGACTGGTTCATTGCCAGCCATCACAGTTCTGATGGATTGCATTGTTTATGCACTACTTCACAAAGCAAAATCTTTCTTTTTTTTAATCTTGAAGTCTGAAACTGGAAAAATCAGTGTTTGGATTGAGATCAAAATAGTTCTTCTTGAGTCTGTCTTCTCACACTTCGACACACATGCCTACTGTATACCCCTCCAGTTGTCTAGTATTTTGTGCACATGAATTGTGGTGGTGGTAACTCACTAGAGAGAAGAGCTTCAAGCTTGTTGGTGTGTAGCAGTGGGAGCTGGAGGAAAATAAAACAGTACGCAGAAGGGAGGAGACCTCTAGTGGCATTGTTCCCACCATCCATGGGACATCTTTTCATGTCTTTAGTATGTCACAGAACATAAAATCGGTCAGCAGCGAAACAAATTGTTTTACATGGCAGTTGCCTGTTTCACTGAGCAGATAAGAGGTCCAGCATATAGTGCATGGCCCAACAACAGAGGCAGACGTAAATCTAGTTTTCATTTTCCATTTTTTTTACAAGATGTTTATAAAATACTGAACACAAAATGTGTGTTCCCATTTATGAAGTGCATCACTTGTTTTATTCTGGTGAGCCTTGTAGTTGCCACTTTAGTGCTGGTGTCCTGAACTGCCTCTGATTGGCTAGTGACTGAGTAATGGCACAGCTCACCCTATTTAGGCCCAAACTGCATTAAAGCACTTTCATATGTACTTTATATTTTTTCATTTAAGAGTAGTTTTTTTGGGGTGGGGTGAGACTGAGCCCACTTGGCAAGTTTGCCACTAACTCAGCCATTGTACCAGCCCCAGATGATAGTTGAGTATGGCACATTTGCTGAGATGAGAATTGGCAGAGAAAACCTGTCTAATGCCACTTTGTCCACCACAAATTCCATATGAACTGATGTGGGTTGCCACAGTGGGAAACTGGCAATTAACTGCCTGAGCTATGGCAAAGCCTTTCATTTGAGAATAAAAAGAAATGAAATTATCTAAAACAAGAAAAGGGATTAATGAATTGCTAAAATGAATGATACTGAATCAGCCAATGTACAGTAACTGACTTGTCCTATATCATGCAACAATGATCTATAGAGACAAAATAAATACATACTTGAATTGGCCCTGTTTCAATGAAAGTTGAAGGGAGTGAAACCAAAGGAACCTCAAGTTTTTTAACTTATTTCACCAGTCTCAGGATTGGAGCCATTACATAAGTCAGGGAGTACTTTCATTCATTCGTGCATTCATGTTTATTAATCCTATAGATCAGATTACACTGATGTAGGACATGTCATTTGATATTATAAAATTAGCAAAAATACAATAACTTCTGTTAAAAGAAGTCAACCAAGGACGTGAGTTTATTCCTAACCACAAATGACTGCAATGAACAATGGCCTGGATAGTTATTTCTTGGATTCATGACAGTTCAAAGACTACTTGTCTGCACTGGAAGCAGCAATGCCATGTAGTACCAGAGGTAAGAACATTTTTCCTCGGTGCAAAGGAGATAATGTTTCAACTTCAAATGTGCTGAACAAGTTTGAGGAAGTTTGGTGTCTGTGGTCTACACTAAAAGCTATTTAACAAATTTAATCTGATTTGCACTTCTGAAACATAAATCCTACTCAAGATGAATTTGAAATCAAATGTATTTTCTCAGAACTGCCATATGAATAAAAAAAAATGTAGAATTGAAACCTGAAGTGCAGGTGCATATGCAGAATCAGATAATAAATGTGCTGAGCAAACAAGTACAGCTCATTCTGAAAATAATTCACATGGTTTTGAAACCCTGTCAGTCTGGGAGGTGTTCATTATGCAGGGATATTTCAGCTTTTAATCATTCAGCATAAATAAATACAAGTATAACAGCCTCCTGAAGCGCTGACTTCAGTCTGAATGTGCTCATTTCCCATATAAGTTACTTGATGTGTAAAATTAAGCAAAGTTTCTTCTAATGCGGAGGTCAAGAATGGTGAAGCTATACCTCCACTACCACGGCCAACTTTACCTTGTACTTTCTGCCGCCCTTACGCAAAGTGGCAAACTACGATATGCAGACTGGTTGTCCTGACAGACGTTTCGTGGTTTTTCTCAGTCCCATGCAACAAATGCTGGGATAATACCTTATATTCAGTTACAACCGCTTCCATGCACACTCTTGCCCAGCAGCTTTTTCACTAATCACTATTTGACACTGTAACACCTATGATACTTCGATACTACCTTCGCAGTTTCACATGCATTAAATTCGGTCTAGGATGCGCAGGCGCATTTCGTACTATATCGATTTCGAGGTCAGGACGGGTCCAACTTGCATGTGCGTTCCAATGCCCACTGCGGGGCCGGCGATCTATAGACGGCCGGCCCTAGATCGCGCATGACAGGAGTGACCGAGGCAGTATTGCTGTGAGTAGTGAGAGGAAAGGAAGTGTATGTGCTTGGCTGTCTGCTGCTTCTCGTCTGTCAAAGGTATGCCCGTCACATTGCAGTCAATAAGATTCGAACCTAAGACATCTAGAGTCCTCGTTTCTTTAGGTATTACGGCCTTTTCGCGATGCCCGTTATCTGCATTTTGCCACAGTCAGGAGAGGCTGCGCTCCACTTTAGTCCCGGACCAGCTGCATATGGTCATTTCGGCCTTCGCGAATGTTGTATGATCACATCACAAATTACGTATAGGGCGAGGAACCCCAGAGATTAGAACAGTGGCAGTATTTCCAGTGTCAAAGCTATATCACAGTTTATGTTAAAATACTTCCTGCTCCACCGAAATCCTAGTCTGGTGGAAGCATTAGGGGGCGTGAAGTTAAAGATCCACATATTCAAGACTGTGGATGTGAATGGTAGCCACCAAGATCAGGATCTCGTTCATTTCCTGTCATCCAGTCCAAGGCTCAACTGAGCTTACAAGGCTCGTCGATCTGTCATCAGGTACGTGACAGGACACTGAAAAACGCTTGTCATGTGGTTTCATCCCTTACGTGGGTCAGTCCAACGTGTCCAATTGATACAGAAGGAAATCTGTGATGCGCTGGTTTTGTGGAAGTGGCCTGTGTACAGTGGGAGATCCCCGTTATACGTTCGTTATCTGGGAATGAATCTTTGTACAGTGAAAGTGCTAGAAATGTCTGCCTGTATAGTGGTCTTTTAAGAGGCTAGTCTTATGGAAATGGCCTGTGTTTGTGCAGTGGACGGCCTCGATGATGCGCTGGTTTTATGAAAAGCTGAATTTGCACAGAGAAAGGTCTCATAAGATTTTGGTTTCATGGAACTGCTCTGTATTAGTATCGTGAAGGCTTCCGTGAGGAGCTTCAGCCTCAGATTTTAGTAGTTACAGGCCTCTCGGTCGCAAGTGGCAGTGTCGCCTATGGCCAAACGTATGCAGTAACAAAATAAAGTAAAATAGCCGAGGCAAAGCATATATGACGTGAAAATTGGTAGAAGTGTCGTACAGATTGTTTATAAATTATTACCATTTTGTTTTGGGGCCTGGATAGCACAGTCAGTATAACGACGGGCAACGAGCTTGGCCCCCGGGGTTCGATTCTGTTCTCCACAGCGTCCAGACCGGCTCTGGGACCCACCAAGCCTTCTGTCTAACGGGTACCGGGAGGTAAAGTGGCCGGGGCGCGAAAGTGACCATTCACCTGCAACTAGTGCCAAGGTGAAGAGTGGTGGAGCTATACCTTCCTTCCACCATACTTCTTCATGGTGTGGTGCTTAATTTATCACAGGGACAACTTTACCCCTTTTATCCCACTTTCTTTATTTTGAAAAAATAGAAACAGGCTTATGAGATCACTTTGCTCTCTGTGCACATGTGTATCCCCCATTGTATTCGTTTTCTCTGTGGTCTGTGTCTTATCAAAGAAAAGTAGGCGATTAGTTCTTGCCATAACCTCCTGGGGGCACGCTGTAGCATAGTTGGTTGAGGCATTATGCTACAAGCCAGAAGGTCGCGGGTTCGATTGCCAATGAGGTCATTGGACTTCTTCAATTTACGTAATCCTTTAAACTGCACTATGGCCCTGGGGTCGACTCAGGATCTAATAGAAATGACTATCAGGAATATTCGTGGGGGTAAAGGGCGGACGGCCCTTAAGGCTGACAACCTCACCGCCATCTATGAGCGGATCTTCTAGAAAATATGGGAGAGCCGACGTCTCACAACCCTACGGGCCTCTACGGCCTGTTACAAGGATAGCTTTACCTTTTACATAGCTTCTTGTATTATCTTTAGAATTTCGTTATACTCGTAATAACAAAATAGTAAGTGCAAGGCCCTTTTGTGGTGAAAATCAGTTCTAAATTGTTGCAGCACTGACTGGGTTAGGATTATAAATCGAGACGAAAGCATTTCGTTAAAAGCAGTGAAAATAAATTAAAAGTCTTGTTGCGTAAGTAGAGGAACGAAGCAATGGCCTTCGTTGTCTGTTGTTGGTTACGTATTGTTGTGTTGTTGGCCGCAAGTGCGCCTGTGCGGTGTCACTGTGTGTAGTCCGGTGAAGTGCGTGGTAGTCTAGCCTGATGGGCTGCACGACATATCTTTTTATACGGGGCAGCTTGAGCCGTACACTTCCTGTTACATGAATGTCATCGCCAGGTTACACACAGTGACATTCGGCCAACAACATAACAGTGATAAGGTACTCCACGTAACCACGTTGCTGTCTTCCTCTGCTTACGCAACAAGAATTTTAATTTATTTCAACTCATTTTAGTTTTTTTCTTCTATTGGCTTTCGTGAGGGGGGGGTGAGACTGAGCCCACTCGGCACGTCTGCCACTAAAGGGCAAATTGTAACAGCGTCGGATGATAGATGAGTGTGAAGCATGTGGTGGAATGAGAATTGGCAGGGGAAATCGAAGTACTCGGAGGAAACCTGCCCCAATGCCACTCTATCCACCATAAATCCCACACGACTTGACGTGGGCTCGAACCCGTGCTGTCGCCCTGGGAAGCCGGCGACTAACCACCTGAGCTGTGGCACGGCCCTGATTTAACTAATTGCTTTCGAGAAACTTGACATTTTGGTCACTGTCTAGAGTGATAGTAGAAACATCATTAAGACAACTTATGTTCAGACACACATGTAAAGTACTCACAGCGTTGGCTACGCCATGTGGTGACAGCCGGTAGTGGCCGAAACAGGTAAACGCAAGCTTTTGTATTACTCCATTAAACTTGTGGACCTTACCACTCATTCATGTATTGAAAAGGGTAACGGCTCAGGATCTCTTATAAAGAAGCTCAATAATTTGCACCAAATGTCATTGGTGTGATGAAATGAAGGAGAATTGCGTTTGCGGGGGAGGGGGGGTAGTCGATAGCGTAGTTGAAGCACTATGCTACAAGCCGGAAGGTCGCGTCTTCGATTCCCAATGAAGTCATTGGATTTTTCAGTAGACCTAATCCTTCCAGCTTCACTATGGCCCTGGGATCGACTCAACCTCTGACAGAAATGAGTACCAGGAATCTTCCTGGGGATTGAAAGAGTGACCTGCCGACGCGTAAGTCTGATAACCTCACAAACATCTATGAGCCGATTGTCTAGAGCAGGCATGTGCAACTTCAAACAGGTTGTGATTGATTTTTTAGTGTCAAAACTGCCAGTGATCTGCCACCCCCTCCTAACGTCGTACCTGACTTTAAGCAAAAATATTGGTAAAAATAACACGGCACATGATGTTTGTTGTAAGAGCAACATATACATTGAAAGTACAGACTACTTTAGCACGTATTTTCCCCTCAAAATCTGAATATAATTATATTATATTACAAGTGAATTTACATGCTTTTCACGTATCGTAAGGCTGACAACCTTACCGCCATCTTTGAGCCGACTGTCTAGATAATGTGGGACCCTCAACGTCTCACAGCCCTATGGGCCTTCACAGCCTGTTACAGGGATAGCTTTACTTTTTTGCTTTACTTATAGGCCTATGAGATCGACCAAAAATCGTCCCGCGATCGACGCGTTGGACATGCCCGGTCTAGAGAAAATGTGGGAACTTCAATGTCTCACAACCCTATGGGTCCCCCGCGGTCTGTTACAGGGATAGCTTTGCCTTTTATTACCTTTGAGGGACAAGTAGAACGCGTGGGGGAGATGCACACTGAATGTGAGCCGGAACACAGAAGAAAGGTCCATTTATGCCCCATAGCAGTTGAGTGGATATTGTTAAAATTTGTCAAAAAGAAATGTGGTGATGGTGTGGAGTCCTGTTCCTGACTGTTGTGAACACCGTAAAACTTGTAAGCCTGTCGGTTCCATCAAAGACGGGGAATCTGTTGCACAGCTCCTTGCCCGTCAGCTTCTCAAGAAGAAAAAAAAAGTCTCTGCTTTGTTCAGTTGCTGTAGCAAAAATGACCACCATGCAGGACCACGTTATGTTGAACATGTTGCAAATTCAGACAACAAATCGCCCGCACCGTCCCCGTCTGAGTCTTGCAGCAAAACGTGTACTTACCCGACGGACAGGGCCGCGCCATAGCTCAAGCGGTTAGTCGCTGGCTTCCCACCGCGGCGGCCCGGGTTCAATCCCGGGTCTGGTCAAGTGGGATTTGTGGTGGACAAAGTGGCGCTGGGGCAGGTTTTTTCCGAGTACTTCGGTTTCCCCTGCCAATCTTCATTCCACCAATTGCTCCGCAGTCACCCGCACCTATCATCTGGGGCTGGTACAATAGGCCAGAAGTGGCCGCAGTACAAGGGACTTGATCCCACCCCACTATCATCAGTAATCTGTCAAGACGACAGGTCCACAGTCTCTTCCAAAACAATTCCTCCACTTAATGCGATCTAGAGCTTTCTCCTTCAAATGACAGTATCCTCTTCTGTCCCCAAGTTCATCCAGCATCTTCTTACGTCTTCTTCCTCGTCTTCTTGTCACTTCTATCCGCCCATCTATCTTTCCTTCGATAACTTCTTTTAGAAGGCAGTTTCTGCGTAAAATATGACCAATCCAATTAGCCTTCCGTTTTCTTATTTCGTGTAGGATATTCCTCAGCTCACTGACTCTAATTAACACTTCTTCATTTCCCACATAATCGGTCCAACTGATCTTCTCCATCCTTCTCCAACACCACATTTCAAAACTTTCCAGATGTTTCCGATCTACTGCCCTAAGTGTCCATGTTTCAGCCTCATACAGAGCTATGCTCCAAATGTAGTATTTCACTAATTTCTTCCTCACCCCACTAGCCATAAAAAAATACCCGACGGACGGCTACATCGGTTCATTAATCAGTAACTGGATAATCTGATTGTTATTCATTTTGATGTTTTAAGATACGAAAGAAGATTGTCGTGTCTGCGTGATAACTTCAGGTATTTCTAGTGCTGAGTAGCTGCTGCGCATACCAGCACTGCGTTATCAACGCAACAGGATTAGCTTATCAAGATGGTTGATACGAGCGATTTTATGTAAGCATGCCGGTGTTGTCGCGTAATCCCCTTGAAGCTGCGTGTC